CCCCGGTGAACAGAGCACTCCAGGAGGAAGGGCCCACTGCCACTACACTGGCAACAAGTCACATACAATCACACTTTCTAACTAGAAAGCAGTGCTTTCTCCATGTGTCTCTTTTCTGCTTTGAGGGAACACAAGAAAGCCTGTCTGGCTTAAGCCCAAGTTGGTCCTGCTCCATAACTGGCCTGACCCACATGGTCCCTGTCCGGAGGAAAGGAAAGGAAGAGTCCTGGCACTGCTTTACAGAGGACAGGCCAAACTACATTTGAAGGCCCCAGGAGGGAAGGCAGTGAAGATGGCAGGAGCTGTCCCTAACTCAGCCCAGTCTGCTGGGCAGCCCATATGAGGTTGGAGCTGCACTGGTGTGTATCAATGCCAGGGGCAATAGCCCCTGCACAGCCCCCTCAAGCTGCAGCAATGAGGATCCCAGGGAAACACGGATGGCTGCTAATGTCCTGCACTAAAGACCACTCTGCTCAACACAGCAGCCCTCAGCAAGCTTTTGGGAAAGCATCAGTGAAACTAACAGCAATCAGGTACTGCCCCTGGTTGTTCCATCTCCTGCCTCCACTCAGCAACCAAGAGATGCTGAAGCACCAGAGCAGTCAAGCAAGCTCCTTCCTAACTGACCTTCCTCCTCTGGGGACACCTCATGGCAGCCCTTCAATACTTAAAGTGGGCCTATCAGAAAGATGGGAACAGACCTTTTAGCAGGGCATGGTGTGACAGGACAAGGGTGATGACTTTAAAAGAGGAAGATTTAGACTAGAGAGAAGGAAGAAACCTCTGAGGCTGAGGGTGGTGAGACACTGGCCCAGGTTGCCCAGAAAGGTGGTTCATGTCCCATCCCTGGAACCATCCCAGGTGTGGCTGGATGGCACTCTGGGCAATCTGCTCTAGTTGCAGATGTCCCTGCTCAGTGTAGGGGGTTTGGACTAGATGACCTTGAAAGATCCCTTCCCACCCAAACCAGTCTGGGATTCCATCATCTGCTCTAACCTCCTCCAGAGACATGCAGTAGTCATAGCACTAGCAGCTTCCTCTGGGCCCAATGTCTGTAACTATCCAGAAAACATGCGGCCAGAGCTCGCCAGGCTCCAGTTACCCAGTGCAAGTTGCCTTGAGACCACCTGCAAAGGAAGCTCTCCTCACTCCTCGATGCTGGCACTTGCTGGCCTCTTCAGCTCAGTGCTGTCTGACTTGCTGACATCTGCTGAGGAATGTGGATGTCAGGACCAGATCAGCACTTACATGAGCTGAGTTTCTGAGCACATGTGCTGAACCTGCACCCAGCAGCCCCAGCTGGCAGTGAATGGGTTGCTGGCAAGTCCTTCAGTGGTTGCAGAGCTCCTGTGGCTGGGATTCCTCCAGGCACATTCAGCACCTGGCTCTTTAGCCACATGGGAAGCTTTTCAGGCACCTGCTAGTATCAGACTTCCCCATGAATTTCACCCCATGCCACCATCCATCAAAAGAAGATCCATCAGGAAGGTGTTAAAAAAGGAGCAGATCACAACTGTTTTCTGGAGAATACCTACCATGTTTGTTTTACATCACATTGATGAGGTCCCTCCCTCTAGCAGCTCCCTGCATTGCACGGTGGCTACCTACAGTCTCCTTAAGTACACCTGACCTTCCTGTCCTTCCACATTTCCATGCTTGGTCACACTGGCAGACTAACTGGGATGGGGAATCCTCGTCATCCCAGCCGTGGGCACAGGAGGGTGTCAGAGGAGAGCAGGAGCTTGCTCACCCAGCCAGCCACTTACCACAGTTCTTGAGGGAGAGCAGGGGGTGGTCGGTGGGCAGTGGCTCCGGTGTTGTGACATCCAAGCCTGCTGCTGCAATCTGGCCGTTGGCCAGCGCATTGTACAGGTCCTCCTGGTTCACCACAGCACCCCTGGCAAACACAGAGGGAGAGGCCTGTGCTGCTGCCAGGGGGTCCTGTGGGCTGCTCCCAGGGGCACGTGCCACGTGGGACAGCCTGCACGGTGGCACCCAGGTCCCCAGGGCTGCCTGAGGAGAGGTCAGACCCCCTCTGGATGCGCCTGAACCTCCCAGTGCAGCAAGCTCCCAAGTGCTGAGCAGAGGGGAAAAGAGCCGGGTACCCAAGCGTCAGGTGGCCCTGGGGCAGCCATGCAGTGAGGCACAGGCAGCCCACGGCGTCCTGGGTGGATGCCATGTGTCACACAGGTTCTGCCCTGCCACTGCACGCCACAAGAAAGGAATGAGACACTGCCACTGGTCTTGGCCAAGGAGCCCTGTCACAGCCACCTCTGTCCCAAGAGCAGCCCTATTGTGGGCAATCCCTCAGCCTTACCCTCCCATCACCCAGCAGTCACACATCAGTACAGCCCACTGCAGTGGGAGACAGGGCTATGCGGAGGAGACAGAGGCTGTAGCCCCTGAATAACTTATCCAGCCTTTGGCTTGATCCCAAAAGACCTTCAGCTGGAGGGAGCAGGCCACACACTGGGTAAATTGTCCCAGCAGCTCCCGCCAGGAAGGGCATTCATGCTGTATGGACTCCCAGTGGAAGCAGGTGTCAGTCTACCAGGTTCCTCTGCAAGCACTGCTGTTGACAGGGTGACAGTCGCCCCCCCATGCAGGAGACTATGATGTGATTACCTGCTTGTGTTGATGAACACAGAGGTCTTCCTCATTCTGCTGAAGAAGTCCTTGTTGCACATTCCCTGGGTGGCTGGAGTCAAAGCACACGTCACCACAACGAAGTCCGACTCTTCGGCCAGCTTTGTGAGTGGAACTGAGTGGAGAAACACGGGTAACAGTTCTGCCTGGGGATCTCACCAACACACCTCAGCAACCCTCTTATCTCTAGGGTTCACCAGCAAACAAATGCTGCTCTAGAGAGACCTGGCTGTAGGGGTGCTCCACAAGACCCTTCACCTCTTCAGAAGCGTGGGCCAGGGCTTGACAGGCCTCTCAGTGAAGAACGTGTCCCTCATGTCCAACCTAAACTTCCCCTGGCACAACTTGAGGCTGGTTCCTCTTGTCCTATTGCTGTTCCTTAAGAGAAGAGCCCGACCCCCACCTGGCTCCAACCTCCTTTCAGGGAGTTGTCAAGAGTGAGAAATTCTCCCCTGAGCCTCTTTGCTCCAGGTTGAACAACTCCAGGTCCCCCAGCCACTCTTCGCAAGGCTTGTGCTCTAGACTCCTCACGAGCTTTGTTGCCCTTTGAATGCCAGCTACACTGATGAGCTGCCAGAACCTCCAGGCCCCCTCCCACAGGGTGATGCCTCCCTGGAGCCATCCCAGACATAGTGCTTCGTGCTGCCCTGCAATGACAACCAATCACCACCCCTGCTCCTGGCATCTTTCTTACCAAACTCGGCTTCAAACTCTTCAGCACTTTCTGGTCTTGGGCGACTGCCAGTGTACAAAAACTTCTTGACCCCAAATGGCTTCAGGCGGCGGGCAACTGCCTGTCCTAGGAGCAAGAGAGAAGTCTGGGGCCACTGTGCCAGTGCCTGCATGAGGCTCGATGACGGAGCTCTGTCTCCTCTGGCAAGCTCGCACTCTGTGAGGCCGGCAGCACGGCAGCCAGCAGAGCGCATCGCTTGCTGAAGGGTCACTGTGGTGGGGTGCTCCTGCCAGGGTGCCTCCAACAGGGAGGCTTGGCAGGCATGGAGTCAGGGTGGATGTCTTCTGCTGTTCCTCCTGCAACCAGGAATGAACTCCCTGCCAGAGTGGAACTGTGAAAAAGGAGCCACAAGACAAACCCGAAGCCTCCCTGGGAAGCAAACTCAAAAGTGAGGAAAGAGCCATCTGCTGTCAAAGTCCACAACTAAACGTCGAGCATGTAATCTTGGACTTTGTCAGGGCATTTGTTTAACTGAAAATCAAGGGGATGATTGTGAATTTGCTGTAGTATTCAAATGCAGTGGGTGTGTTTGAACGCTTTAAACTTTCACGGTTGAGGTCCAATGAGTCAAGATCGCTGTTCAGAGAGGCACTACACAGCTCTCCTTGTTGTTCTCATAGATTTCAAAGAGGTGAGCACTGGGGACACCACCTTGGCTGAACCTCCAAAACCACCCTGCCATCACTGGAGACACCAAAACCTTGCGCTTGAACTGCACTTACCTATTCTCCCCAGACCTATGATGCCCACCGTGCTATCGGACAGACCATAGCCGCACATCCATAGGGGCTTCCATGTTGTCCAGCCACCACTAGGAGAGAGCGTGAGGCAGAAACAGAGGTCAGGCAGCAGCAGGAGAGAGCCTGCCTGTACCCCAGTCCAGCATTTGGGCAAGTACACCAGAGTACGACGCTGCGGGCGTCCAGCCCCTCTGGCACAGACTGATGATGTTACAGCAGCCTCTCTGAGGTTCCTGCTTCAGATGACCTTGGTGGTCTCTCACAGGAGTCTCCTTGGACCTCAGGTGCGCAGCAGCAGCAGAAGCAGCAGCCTTGGGACTGATTTAATTCAGGCACTGCTATCCACAGCCCTGCAATGACTGCCAGTCAGTATGCTCTAGCCAGACCTTCCATGCATGCTCTCCTCAAGGGATCTGTGGTGGCCTTGGAGATGCCCTCTCCCACGTGTCCTCTGCCTCACGTACAGAGGGGAGTTCTGCTCCTCTCACAGCCCCTGGGCAGCACATCTCCAAAGAGCCATGGAATTGCAGGGGACTTGGCCTGCAAGATGTGTTTGGTGCAAGCCAAGTTAAACTCTGGACTCAGCCTTGCTTCACCTGCCCAGCGTGGCATGCTTTCTCCTGCAGCTCTCAACCTGGGCACTGCTGGGCACAGAAGCCAGCTGGCAGCTGCTGATACTCACTTCTTTACCTGCTCCACTGCCTCTGGCAGCCGGCGGCACGCAGCCAGAAGTAAAGCTACTGAGAGCTCTGCAGTGGCATCAGTTAGCACATCGGGGGTGTAGCCCACGCGGATCCCCCTGCAAGGGAGCACAGGTCTCATGCAATGGCGCCAGCATTGGGCGTCATCTCAAAACTTCAGGGCAAGTTGATGATGCTACACCTCTTCTAGGTAGCTGCAGTTCTATGTGCAAGAGGACATCCCTTTGAGGTCCTCCTCCAGAATCTTCTCATCTTCTCAACTGTGGCCAAAGTGGGGTTACCCCAGCCTTACACTAGCACTCACAAACTCCTCCAGCCCCAGCACAGCTGGGAGTGACCCTAGGGTCACAATCAACTCCATCAAGCTGGGGGTGTACCCATGGCCCCAGTGAGCACCAACCACCTCCAGGAGCACCCA